TACGAATGCAGACCTCACCTCCCTATACTTAATTAGTTCTACTAATAGAATTAAGCAATCGGCCCAACGACCCAGGCAAGTGCCACGGCAACACAATCACAATCAACAACCATTAAATACATACATAAAACCAATAACTCACAACAATTACTACAGTAGTTCAAAATAACTGACACAGAGCAATTAGATAAATTTAAAATTATCTCTGAGAAGAAACCCCCGGGACTCGAGGGTAACCTGAACTGAGTAACGTAGTGCCGGACCTGAGTAACGCGGGGCGCTACACAGACAGCCTTCTTTCTGCTGCGGGCTTTGTTGAGTTTTCTTATCACGTTCCAAGTCCTCGATCGCAACCTCCGAGTCCTCGACTAACAGAGCTTGGTATGGTCGTTCTGGTCGATCTTCTTTTCTTTGCTGTCTTCTTTTAACTAAGTTTCGTTTTCTTGCAGCGATGGTGTCAGTTTATGTTAACAAAGTGAAGAGAAAGCGCCCTGCCTCTAATTCAAAATTGAATGCAGGCCAAGCATCATCGTTACTTCTGGTGCTGATAAGTGAGCAGGAGCTCTCAAGATTGAGCCAGGAAGAGGAGGGTGTTGGGTTTTATGCCCTAAACTCGTGGTTTGTAAACATAAAACAACAAATATTTATTCATTCAAGTTGTTGTTGGTTTTTCTTTTAGAATTGCATTAACCCAAATCCAATAAACTAAAATCCAAAGTTATGTCATGTAACTGGAATAGTATATAATAGATATACAGTATATATTTACTACACAACGAATATATTTGATATACAACATATATATTGTTGGGTGTGTTGCCCTAAACTCGTAGTTTGTATTTTGTAAAAACAAATGTATATTCGATAAACTTTTATTCAATAAATTTGTTGTTGAATTCATAGCATTGCATTGTCCAAAATCCAATAAACTAAACATCCGAGGTTATTGTAGTGTAATCGGGACAGTATTTGTACTCGGTATATATTTGATATACTGGGTATATATTTGATATACCCCTGATATACGAGGTATATATTTGATATACCCTGATATAAAAGTGGATAATCTCTCGTGAATAACCTAAAGGGTCTATAGTATATGGATAAGGCTGGGTACCTTATCCTGGCAACACTATGGATACGGCCCACTCTGTAAAGGTCACAGACGACTCGATCCAGGTCGTTCGTGTGGAGACATGCGAGTTGGGGTATCCTATAAAATGAGTTTATATAAGATCGGACCACGAAATAGCCAATCTTTAGATGTAACATCGTTAACTAATAGATTGTTGTTTCTTAGGATGACCAGACAACTCATTCTCAATCTTGAGTGAGTTATGGACTCCTGCCCGTGAGGGCTCGTCCTTTGATCTGTATGGGTGAGAGTGGCTTCAGATGCCGACTCAATATTCCTACCATTTTGGAGACGAGACCGAGTGGGGAGCTGGGAACATAACTTCACAAGATGAAATTCACTCATCTCCGACTTTTGGGGAGTAGATGAGTGTTCCGTTAAATGCTGACTCCAGGACTTGAACAAAGGGCCCCACCCTCTCATTGGCCCGAGAGGGACTTCCGGTTATTCGTCGGACCATAACCGGGTTGTTCATTAGAGGAGCAGTGGTATTTAAGGAGTAAGATGTAACTCATGGGTAAAACGGTAATTTGACCCAACTTGAGTTACGAGCACTCGTGAAGGATTGACTCGTCATTAATGGTCGTATATCCATGGACATAAAAACATTCTGCAATGAGAAGAGTGCAACTGCGGGTCTTTAGTGGAGGGACCCGTAGTTAACGAATGTTGATTAACTCGGTCAATGAGTTTGACTGATTAATCTGGTATTGTTGGAGTTTCGGATCTGTAGGTCCATTAGGTCCTCTTGCTAGCTCAGAACAGGTAAAACGAGGATAAAGTTTTTGGAAGAATTTGAACTGTTCAAATTTCTTAAGGGATTATATGTATATTGATATATTATAATATATAGTTAATTCTAAATTAAAACTATATATTAAGAGAGAAATTATTTGAATGCGATTCAAATAAAATTAATATGAATAAGATTCATATTAAGACTATAGGTTAAAAATAATGTGCATAAGATGTACATTCGAACTATAGGTTATACGAGAGAAATGCAATAGAATATGATCTATATATGTGATAAATAATTAAGGGTTAATTATTTATTTGATATGTATACATATTAATTAATTATTAATTAGATTAATAATTAATTAACATTTATTAATTAATATGATTAATTAATTATATATAT